AATGCTGTGTAGCCGAAACCTAAGCCTAAAAGCTGAAAATACGAATGCTTAAATGTTATGTTTTCTCGGTCCTGTTATAGGGGTGAAGGCGTGGACACTAAATAAAGCAATGTATGGGTAAGCTGGAGGCATTTGAGATGTGGGCGTAACCGAAGAATGTTAAAAATCTCCTGGAAGGATAAGATAACTAACTAAGTTGTATTAGACAGGATGAACAACAAAAGGAGGTCGCATTGAGTGTTAAAATGAGGAAACTAACATATAACGTGGGACAATATTACACATGGGAATAAATATCAACTGTTACAACTAATTATGCAAGGAAAGATTGAAGGTAGGCGCAGCATTGGTAGGAGAATGAATGTCATGGTTGAGAAACCTCAAGGGAGTGGTTTGCTTGCACTTCCATACAATTGTTCCGAGCGGCAGCCTCCAGGGTCAAAATTGCCATGATGATAGCCAACCTCGTAGCGGAGATGGCACGTAGAAGAAGAAGAAGAAAAACCACCCCATCTTCTACTTCTACTTCCACCTGTTCTATTTAATTTTCTACATTTATTTTTTTAAATCAACCTCTTTCATTTTTTGTTAGTATTCAACATTAGTTTCCCATTGTTTCTTTTAGTATTCTCGGTATATTTTTCTAGTATTGTGAGTTAATTCTTAAATACTTGTGTGTATCTTAAAACTATTTTTTAAGTCTACAAGAAATCTACGTTTCTTCAGTCGGCTGTATACCATTTATATTAAATAATTTTTATTAAAAAACCTTTATAAAAGGTAATATATTTAAAAACCCTAACGGGCTAATTATACAAAAACGTTTTCGGAATCCATATTCCATCATCAGTGTCTAGGTGTACATGAATGTAGCCACTAAATATATGGGTAAAACCCTTTAACAAATAATTAGTTACATTTGGTATACAATATTTTCTTATAATATGTTATAATAATAATAAATGTAAACTAATATGTTATGATGTTAAACTTACCGTTGGATAAGGTAAACATGGCGACGTATGACTTCACGTTGAAGTTGCTAGTCCTGAGACGGTGATGTGTCTACAAGGACTGTATGTAGAGAGTTGCTTCCATACAGTCCTTAAATACACATCGTTAAGGACTAGCAACTTCAACGTGGGTCATATGTCGCCATGTTACTAAACATCATAACATATTATTAAAAATATTGTATACCAAACGTAACTCATATATTGTTAACTATATGGGTTTTTACCCATATATTTATGTGCTACATTCATGTACTCTAGACACTGATGATGGAATATGGATTCCAAAAACGTTTATGTATAATTAGCCCTTAGGGTTTCTAAAAATATACCTTTTATAAAGGTTTTTTAATAAAGATTATTTTTTTAAGTCTTCTCTGGTATTCTTCTATTTCTGTGCATTTCTTACGATTAGTATCACTACGATACTGTTGACTGCACAAATCTGTACACTTAATTGCATATGACTTTAACATAAGAGATACCAACATATTTTTAACCAAATACACTTCAGTATTGTTCAACACAAGACAGATTGTAACGATCACAAGTTAGTCCACATGGAGTAATACTGGAAGGGAAGAGTTAGAAACGTTCTTTATTGACAATTAGAATTAGTGACCGTAATTTGTTCCAATTCTGCTAAGTTGGATAAAAAAAGTCTAACGTAGAAAATACCAGTTGTTAAAAAAATACTTGAATTTTAAACAAGTTTTTTCCTACATAAAACCAATATTTAGGACACATGAATAAAATTGATATGTCAACAAACGATTAAAGGTTTAAAATACTATTTCAAATGTAAAGGTATAGTTACCTGAATTTGTCACTTGCTGTTTAATTATTTAAAAAATACAAGTAAACTGTTTATACCAAGCAAAAAAAAAATACATTTAAATATTAATTACTCAATGCCCTTCACAACCTGTTTTGCCGCATTTATCTAACAATAGCCCAACATTATCGAAATATATTGAACACACACTCTCATTATATTATAAACTCTTGAACCAAAATGAACGCACCATTTTAATTAATATAATTTTAATTAATCTAATATAAACAACAAACTTAAAACTTATTCTTCTTAAAGGTTCCATCTCCTATCGGAGGGTTTGGATATCATAACGGCTATGGTCCACTTAGTTGGTATGCTTTGCTGCCTGAAAAGTTGTAGTGAACTATCAGTTGTTTAAACCATTCTCTAAGGTTCCTCAACAGGAGATGCGGTCTTTTTTTCAGACTAAAAAAACTAAAAAAATAAAACCAAGATACATTAAAATAATAATACCCAGCCTACAAATAAGTCCCCAATATGACGTTATGATGGACCTTAATTAATTCTGCCTTTATTGTTTCTTTAAAAAAATTTGTTTTTGCCGAAAATGGTGTAAAATAAGCCTAGCGTAAAACTAGTGGGGGGGGGGGGGGGGGGGGGGGGGGGGGGGGGGGGGGGGGGGGCATTTTGCATAAAAGAAAAAAAATCAGTTAAAAGTAACTCAATAAAGTTCATCTGGGTCCACACTTAATAACCATGTAGGCCTTTCTCATTTTCCTTATGGACTGCATTTATGCGTCGAAGCATGCTTGATATCAAATGTTCAACAACAAACACTGCGGAATGATTCATTTTCGCATTCTTCAATAACGACCTCAATGTGTTGGTTTGTGATTGGCAAAATAGGAGGTCCTACGGGACCTCGAATCTTTTGCGTTTTGAGATACTTACATAGAGGCTCTAATTAGGATTCTATGTCCGGCTGGTTGGTTGGCACCTCTAGTACTGGAATATCAACATCATTTTCAGGTAGCCAATTAACTCAGTCGCATAGCGCACATGAGAACGAAGCGTGTTTGTCTTGCTATGAATACAAAAATTTGGTCCTAAAAAACGGAATGCAAAAGGACTATTTCCTTGTTTCGACAATACATGTTAGTCTAATGGGCAATTCCATTAGATCTCGTGTGATGTTATGGAGCCAAAATCTAAGAACCAAATTCCTCCCCTCCCCCCAAACTATATTTAGAACCACCACCAAAAGGGTAAATTAAGGTGGAGAGATACTTGCAGCTGGCAAAACCTTTCTCCTACGCCTTCCCATAGACCCAGTCTTATCGACCATCTGAAAGCTTTTTATTAGGCTTGCTCTAGTCCCTCATCTGAGAAGTAAAGAATAACTCGTTTCGCAATCACCGATGGTCTATATTTATTAAAGCAATCTTGCAAAATTTATTCTAGTCCTGCATTACCTATGTCCTCTGTTAAAGGACAGGTCTTCTTTGGCCGGATTCCTGTTGCTTGCTTGCAATTTCTGCTTGAATCGTAAACGTCTTCTAAACGTGTTTGAAATAATAGCGCGACATTTTAAACATGCCTGCCAGTTCATTTTTTAGCAGAAATTTCTGGTTAACTCCTCCTAGCTTTGGAAGAGCACGTCACGTTTGTCTCCAAAAAACGATCATTGAGAATCTAATTAGTTCATAGTCGTTTTCCGTTATTGTCCTTTTGGGCCTCGGACAGTACGACCCCTGCTTTCAGTTATGTTCGCCTCACCTTGCGACTGATGCTGGAATTGAGATGTCTTACTAACAAAGAGCTGCAACGTATCGTCATTGGAATATCCTTCATCTAGGAGGAGTCGATGCTCGTACTGCTCCTCCTTCATAGACAAATTTTCATTGGCGGTTCATTTTTATTATATGATTTTTTGTGCTAAATTGAACTTTCGATCATGCATGTGATAAAAAACTCTCAACAATTAAAAAGCTTGCTTTCTCCATAAACAGTTTGCTTTAGGAGTCGTCACTTGGATTCTGAAAAGTTCAACTCACTTTTAGTCTAAAAGGAAGCTTTAATACGAATTTAATTATTAAAACAAGAGCCTATTATCAGCTTACAAACACAACTGTCACTATTCAAAACAAGGTCGCAGAAGCCTTTGGGCCATAAGAGTCCATAAGATCCCTAAGGTCCATAAGGTTCCATAAAGGTCCCATTGAAGGTCCATAAGGTCCATAAGGTCCATAAGGTCATAAGGTTCCGTATAAGGTCCATAAGGTCCATAAGGTCCATAATGGTCCATAAGTGTCCTTTTCGATCCATCCGGATGGCTTGCGGAAGGACCAATGGAAAAAAATACTCGAACTATAGTATTGGAAGTTCGGTTCGGTTGCCGGTGAATAGCCCCTGTTGTCCGATTCTCGTCGCTCGATGCTGATAGGTATAATAAAAGGTTGAAGTTGCGGAGTTGAAAGGTGATGATTCATTGGATCAGCAACGACTAGTCGTAATTACACAATATGGTGTGTTCGTATCGGAACATATCACTCACTATTTGACCTGGTGTTCATTTGAACTCAAATCCCCATTTTTATTTTCCACTAATCTGCACATCACACATAGATTAGACATTGTACATGAAGCACCTTAGGTCATTGCTTGCGTTCCATTATCCACACCACCTAACTTTTGTTTTATAATACAATTTAATCTACGCCTTAATTGCGACACTTAGGAAGTTCAATTGGAAAATATTATTCGGCAATTTATTTAGTTGAAGGTAAATGAACTATTATTAAATTATCATACGATATGGTTTTGCAATATATATATATTATATATATATATTAAATATATATATAGTATATATATATATATTATATATATTTATGCAAACCTATATACAAACGGTGATGAAACTATAAAACGATTAGAAGAAGTTAAGAATTAATGGGAGCTATTACAATTAAGGGGGTTAATTTGTGATTGAACAAACTTAAATCGTACAGTTACTAATTATTCAAGTTAATAATGATTATTGCGAAAAATATGAGTGGTGCATTAATTTTAGTCGAGGAGTTTTAAAAGGAGTCGGGTATAATGATTGGGACTCAATTAATGTATACATTTTTATAGAATGACAGATACCATTTAGTAATTAAATGCTTTGATTATATATTAAAATTATACATTTTATTGTTCTTTAGGGTAATTCTAGTGTGATACTGAAAGTGCTATATTCGAGGCCCCCACGGTTACTCTGTGTCGTCATGCGCACGCATGTCGGATTCGATGTGGTCCCCACCTGCGGCCAATTCGCGTCTTGTTGCAGAATAGCCGTTCAGGTGAGCTAACATGGCATCTTCAAGGAACTTTTGCCGAAGGGGTATATGGACTCACCATGTAATTACACTATAAATAAGGCGTACCAGTACTCTACTCTAAAGAACCCATAAGCAGCAAAAACAAAAATTTTTAAAACTACAAGGAGTACAAGAATCCTGGTGAAAATTTGGGGAACAAGATCTATCTAGTTTTCGTTATGTCTGGATTTGTGTATTTTAATGTAGTTTCTTTTAAACTATATAGACTAGCTTTTTTAATGGTGAAACCATCTATGTGACTGCAGGTTATACCGGCAGCTGCCAGCCCTCTATCGTGAAAGGTTGGCCACGCGCTCGTAAACTATACTATGAATTCGGTTTCTATCTAATCTAGGCATTTATACAGCTATGACGTACTACCTAAGTCCTTACTGTCTGAGATGGGTGGAGGTTTGTTTAAAATGTCTCTCGCACCAGTAACATTACTAATTTGTGTTTATTTATTATCTCAAAGGAAGTTGGAACTATTGGGTTAAAGAATTGGGAGGGGGGGGGGGGGGGTGTTAAGAATAGTGGGGGGGGGAATGTTAAGTACTTGGGGGGGGTGCGGTATGGTGATGGAACATTAATTTTGGTGCTATTGATATTATTTGTTGTTGTAGGTAACCCAATTGTGACGTCAAGAGCTCAGGGTGTAGGTCCATTGTGGCGTCTTTGGAATCTGTTGCGGTTTTATTTAAATTGTAACTCATAAGTATAAATCGTACATGAGGTGACGGTTAGGCTGAGCATGACAATATTTATTATTTTTTTAAATTAAATTTTGATATTAAAGCACTTTGGTAATGTTTAATAAAACAGGAATAAGTATAATAATAACTTCCGTAAAAGTCGAAGTCATTTTCCCCCCCAGGAAGATCGGTTTCGGATTGTTCGACGGGCCAAAGCCTTTCATGCATCTCATCTCTTTCACTTCAAACGCCCTTAGAGGGGGTTATGTTCAGTATAACCACCAGGGCTAACTAGTGTCAAATGCACAGTAGCCCCCAGAGCGAACCGACGGCTTACGTGACGTGACGCGTAAAATAAAAATGCCGTTGTTTTGGTGCCAAAAATTTTAAATATCATGTGAAGATAAACCGTCGATAAGCAATTAAAGTTAAAAAACCAAGCTTAATCAAGCCATTCAGAGCGGTGCTAGGGAATATAAATTATATTCCACTATGCACTCGCGCCCAACAATTTACCCACATAAATTAGAACCATCATGCTTGATCTCACTTGCGTCGAGTAAGGAGACGATAAGGCTAAAGAGCCCAGTATCTTTGGCAACATGCTCTACTGCCCGCCACTAAAAAACAAAGCACTAGTTTTTTTGTAAAATACTGAAATATTTGTGTTGTTAATATGCCATATCTATTGTACTTTAATAAAATATCCATTAATGAATATTATTCCAAACAAAAAAAGTTTAGGACGGTCATTGCACATCTTCAACATTTCTCCCCCTCCATGTCCGTCATGGTCTACTACCCCTCGTGTTTTTTAAGTGTGGCGGAGTTTTATTTTTTCTATATTTTTTGCCCTCTTTATTTTCAAAAATATTGTGCATGGTATCCATAAACCATTCCTTAATTTATTTCCCAGAGTTCAGTAGCCTACAACAACCCCAATACTTTCTATTATATAATTTTTTTTTTATTTTTCGTTTGTTTATTTTTTTATTCCCATAATGGTCCGTGCAGCTGTCCTGTAGCTAATCTTTGCTTGACCCCAGGATCCTAGAATGTATTTCTTTGTATACTTTCTTTGCCTGCTTTGATGGTTGTTTTAATTGTTTCATATTGTTCCCATTTTAGTTTTCCAATTTGTAGACTTTCTTTTCTGGTTTTTTCCCCTCCTCCTGCAACTAAGTACCTAGTCGGTTTTTTTGGGTATATTAATTGGACATAGTTTATGCCAGAATTGATACATCCCACACTTACATAATTTTTGAGATAATTAACTTTTAAAGAAAAATTCAATTTAACAATATTGAACATAAACTTTGTGTATTATACTTTAAATTCTGCATAAGAGTATTTTTAAGGTGTTTATTGCATCTTATGTGCGGTATTTTTAAAATATAAAGTATATTTATTTTTTTCAATAATAAATAAAAAAAAACATTTGGATCCATTTCTGCAAAATTGTGGTTTCCTGTGGTACTAAGCAATTTTTGATTATTTTGCAGATATGATCCAATAGCGGTGTGTTTGTCTGCGTTACTGTCATTTATTATATTTATTTTTAACCGAAGCTCATGTAAACAAAACAAACATTTATTTTTGGGTAACATCTTTACACTATTATAAAACATTTGAAAATATTAAGTTTAGAACGAATGAAACATTATTCTGTAGAAACTTTCTTCCAAGGGAAAAATCTAGTTAATTTCCGGACCCATCTTTGTCTTGTTTTGACAGTCTTTTGGAACGACGACTTAATAAAATGATTTTATGGAGTAATTATGTCCGTCAAAAAAGTTTACTTTCTAGATTTTTTCGTTTTTTATCTACTATCAACAAATTTACTATCAAAAGAAATTTTCTCATGAAAATGAAAAACGAATACGCGGTTGTCCTTTTTTTAATAAATTTTTTTCTTTTGGGCTTAAGCCCATTTATCGGGCTTCTTAATCTGTTGATAATTTTTTTTATTGACGATGGGAAGTTTAAGTTTATATGTGTACTAATAGAAATTTTTCGTTTTTCATATCTAGTAACCACATTAGGTTTCTTCTTTGACACGAAACGTATGGACATCCATTTAACTTATTCTGGTGTATAAATTCGCTGCTGCAAATTAAGAGCGGATTCTAGTTTGCCAAAAATCGCGGTGTCATTTGGCAGCAGGTAGGAATGACCTGGTTCAAGAAAACATCTTTTGTGAATTTTCTGTGGGTAACGTTGGGATTTGTTTTAACAAAAAAGAGTTTTCAATAGCATAAAATGTTCAAAAAACAAAAAAAAAATACGCACTACGCTATTCCCCACTTGCCTATTACAAGCAGCACCTTGGGAAGATTTTGGCTGGCGTTGCGTTGTTGTCCGCGTGGTTTCTTTATGTCTATATTACGAGCTTATGGAAAAATGTAAAACTTCTGATTATAATGCCAAAGAACATGGCGAGAATAACATTATTCTGCTGATATGATTCAAGCTTTTTGATCATTACATGAGTGTTAATTCCGCATTAGCGTTATTGGCTTTATTTAAATTTTGTAAAAATGATTCGGGTCATTGGATTCTTTTGCATAGCTCGCTTTTAATTTAAAAATTATTTTTAAAACGCAATAATGATCAAAGTACTTTAAAGTGGTTTTTTAAATTTATTTTTGAAATGCGCATTAAGAATTCATGTATCTTGGTCATTTTTGAAAATTACTCTAAAAATATTTAAAAATTTAAGTAGCATGAATCATTTCACACTATCTAATTAAAGCTAAAAGAGCGTTTAAGGTTGGGACATTTTAACTATATGTTACTGGTTGTCTTGCATTAGGAAAAGGTCGGATCATTTTCAGCATAAAGTTAGTCCGAATTTTACGATGTAAATTTGTAGTCATAACTTCACTATTTAAGAAATTGTGGAATGGATCACTTGTCTGCATAAAATACGTCCTAAGTGTAAGATCATCTTGCGGTATAATAATATTTGGTTGATCTTGTTATTTAATCACCAAAAATGAAGGTTTTTTTTTTTTCTTGATCTTAAAGTTTAAATTGGGTTATCTGCCAAAAGAAGAATTGTGTGCTTTACGTAAATTTGCTCTAATTTATTCGTTTTCTGAGAATGGATATACTCAGAACACTTTAATCGTGAAGTTCATTAAACATATGAGGTGTAGCATAGTATTCATTGCCACACGCTGTTAGAACTTAATTTATTGGGAGATTGGCAAAAAACGTTATAGATACTTTCTTATTGAATAGTTTTAATTGGCATTGAGATTTTTCTTTATGAAACTTCATCTTTTCATTTATCATTATCAAACTATACTGATAATTTTATACTTAACATATTGATTTTCCATCTTTTGTTATTCTGTAGCTTTCGTTAACTGTCATTTTGTAATATCATGTGGTCTTTTTTGTCGACGAGTGTTCATTTCATTATTAGTATTCACGTAAAAAATATGTTTTGAATTATGTAACTGTAACTGTTATTGTCTTTGTCTACAATAGCTTCTTGTTCGTTATGTCGTCTGTTTACCTTTAAGCTGATTTTTCTTGTATAATTATGAAGAAAACTCTTTTCTCTTTTATAGCATATAAAAAGACTTGTTGTGTCTTAGTTCTAGCGCTTCTTATCGCTTTTGACTATTTTTTTTCATACACCATTTCTATTTAGCCACTTTTATCTTTTCGTGATGGCAGTGTTACTTTTTTTTCTCTGCTTACAATCAGTAGTAGGTTAAGCCATCCTTAGGTAGAGCTGGCGTGGGTTAAATTTAGAGGTAAGGGAACATGTAAGCCAATTTTTTGTTAGAAGGAATGATGTCCTGTAAACGGATGAATTGGTGTTATCCTGCCTACCAACTAAAAACACCTATTCCTCTTACTTGTGGCAAGTTTGACTTTCGTCACGTTACGTGACTCCGAAAGTTAGAGGCCGCTGTAAAGACTGACGACACTTCCGTGCATCCTCCCCTATTTATATTATCTCACTATAGTGGTCCGACTGGTTGCTTCTCTTCTTATTCTTTCTTTTTAATTACTGTGCTAATGTAATAATGTATAATATTCCTTCCCTTCATACTTACCGTCTCTCACCATTATCTCTTTTCCAAGTAACAGGTTTTGTACTTTTTCTTCGTACATTTGTTCTCTGCACGTCGTCTTATTCCAACAACCCAGCCTTGTGTGAGTAACAGTATCAGGAATATTCACAGTATAGGATTTAATTTCAATCTGTTTTTATTAATCTATGAAGAGATATGTCCTTAAAAAATTAATGACCCTGTGAGTCACTTGCGTGCT